TGTTCTCCTACTCTCATTAAGTGGTCCACACAGGATATTTTCTATTGTTGCCTTCTTCTTGTTCTCTTCTTCTACTTCTTAATTGTTGATAAAAAAAACAAACATTGTGGCGCATTACTGGCCACCAACCAGAGTGCAGTATGGATCGGGAATGGTACACGTGTGGAACAACAGACTGACGCTGACCGTCAGTGTAGCATGAATGGAACTTGCAGGGAAAAGTCCTCAGATGTCTGTGGATGTCTGCATCTTTAGTGATTTATACCCGAACAGCTCAAAGGAGAGGTGGGACAGACCAGGACAAATCATGAATAACCAACAGATATATTTTCTCCTAACTGGACACCACTGGGAAAGCAACACATTCTTTTGGCATGCCAGTATCAATACAGTCAAGCTGTTTCATTGCACCGGTGAGAGGATTCAGCAAAAAGTGGTCACAGCCACCTCAGGCTCTCAACATGCACACTGTTTAACTGGTGGGATGAACAGCAGTGACATGTGTGCTGGCTGTCAGAGACCAGGATGCTTTATTCCCATTGCTCCACTCACATCATTCGACCTCTGACCTTTGAGCGCCGTGAAAACTGTCCCACCTCAACACTTTCTGACACCATCCTCCCTCTTTCCCTCCTCCTCTGTGATTCCCTCATGTCTTCTGTGTCAGTCACTCTGTGTCTCTGTGTCCTTGCTCATCCATGACAGCTGACTGCTCAGCCTTCATGTCAGCTCGTCTGACACATGGCTTAAATATTAGCATAGGTTGTTCTGGTAACTGACAAAGGTCACAGGATGATCCCTGCAGTGGCCGATGTGTCCATCAACACTCAACCGGAAGCAGTGAGAGAGCTTGCTACTGAACCAGAGCTGGAAATGATGAACACAGAAAAAGCATGGTAGAATATGAAAGTTTGCATATCTGATGTCAAACAGGCAGTGATTGTTGATTTGTTTTTGTTTCTACTTATAAGAAATCTGTTGAGAATACACCAATTTACTTCTGTCAATGAATCAATCAATCAATTGTTGTATTTGTCCCAGAGGGCAGCTGGTCATGTTCCCAGTCAGCCAGTTTAAGATCATATCTGCTCAGATCCAATTATGTTGACATGAAACCTCTGGTCTTCATGTCATAAAGGAACAAAACTGTCTCCTTCCTCTTTAATTGAACATTATACAAAAATACAAGAAAACAAAGGATCATTTTAATGTGGCGAAAAACAGTAAGAGTCTTTCCAGGAAGTTCCTTGCTCTAAATGTCACAAATTAAATCACTGTTATTTACAGATTTAATTTGAATGCTTTTGTATTATTTTGTTTATTATAGTGATTATCAACCAGACCAGTTACGCTCCTTCTGAGTAGATCTGAGGATTATAAGTCACTCATTTCTTGAAACAATCACATTTCAAAGCTTTTTTTTAAATAAAGCAGTAATGGTTAAACTGATTAAACAAAAGTTGTCTTATAAATTCAGATATGTTTGACTGTGCTAATCACATAAGCCTCTTAAATTTGAATGAACCTGACATCTCCACTGGGTGGACTGTAAGATTTCCTCTGTTTTGATATGAGTATATATTCACATTCCCACATTTCCTCTGGAATTGAGGAACAAGACTGGGAGTTTGGACACTGGTCAGTAGTGCTGAGTACAGGTTGGATCCAGTCTAAATGCTGCATGAATGCACTGTAGTTCAGATAACCTGCAGCCTCACTTTGTGTTATGTTTAGCGGCTCTCTCAGTGAATCTTTTTGCTGAGCTTTACCTTTTATCTATCTATTCATTCTATTCATACTTGAACCACAGCAGAATAAAGTATCCACACAACAGAAACCGCTGAAATTATTTAAATGAGTAAAATTTTATTTCCACTGTGTTTCATCCCGAACCTCCCAACCCCCTTTCTCAAGCCTAATGTTATTCTACAACTAATAGAGTGGACTGAATCATTGTAGATATTGTTACATGATTACTCTGAATTACATGATGATATGTTTTGAATTTGCTTTGGAACTTGATCAAACATTTTAATTTAATAATATAAATCTCTGCTGGACTCAAATAGGATCATGATTAGTTGACTGGCTGATTGATTGACTATATGACCAACTACCCATAAGCCTTTTGCTGACTCTCCGAATCATAAACTGCATTATAGAAAGCATGACTTATTTACTGTATGACTGAGAGTCTGGCTGTGTTGGCTCACCAGCTGCATTAAATAAGCTGCTTGAAATGCTGCTTTGCTGACTGATGATGATCGATTAACAGTCAGTGCTAAACTATAATCAAAACTCTCCCGTCCTTCTTGATCCATCTTCTTCAATCAACAAACAGATTTATATGAAGAACTATTAAACAGTTTTAAATATTTAGCCAGATACCTGCAGATGTTAAGTCTGTTTGCTCTGACGGTAAAGAGATATTCATTCACAGTCTATGCTGCTTGTCTGTTTGTCTAGGACCAGTGGCAAGTGATAAGTGGTGAAGAAGACTCTGCCAGCCCCTTCATCATGTGAACCATGGGCATTATCAGCCCCTGTACCCTGGATGCAGGGGCGGATGCTGTGGTGATTGGAATGACCAGGATCCCGTCATCGAGAACCCACAGTACTTCAGACATGGACACAACTGTAACAAACCACCACCTGTGAGTAAACACATCTTGATAGACCCAAAACTGTGCATGTGATGTGATATGTACTGTACTTTTTTATTGATTTGTTTCGAACAAAATTGCCCATATTTTCCAAAGGAGCAAATTGGAAAATTTTCTGTCATTTAGGAACTGAAAGAAAGATAAACTGGAGGTGTGTTGTGTTACCCTCAAACAAATCAAACGTAGTGCTCGTATTAGCTCTTTGTGTCAGTCTGTGTAGTGTCAAGTTTCTTGCCTTTCACCAGTGGTAGGGGGGTCGAGGTAGGTGTGTATATGTGAGCTTCCATCCTCCGACTGACACCCCTCCTCCAAGATTAATGAATTACAGATCAATAACCGCTATGACAGTGCTGAGGTAGCATCAATTAAAGTTGAGTTTGTCTCATCATCTTCTTTGTGGTGAGTCTTACTCTAGCTCATGACTACCATCTGTGTGTTTATGTCACACCTATTACTACTTACCAAGCAACTGTTTTAACTATAATAATCTGATACCTCTCTATGAAGCTTGCAGATTATAGAAAGACAGCAAGGGAAGGTTCCCCTATCTGTTGTTAACAAAGAAAACTTCCCTGCAACATCAACCAACAGGTTAAAAGTCAAATTTATTTGGAAAAGAAATTAATTTTTACCCATTGTCCATGCAATGATGGATCATTACCAACATTTTAGAGCACTACAAACTGCTGAAGGCCCGCACCTCCTGTGGAGCCTAAGTAATGTGATACCCATTTTTAAATGTAGGAACACCACCCAAGTCTGCCTGACCTCCATGCAACACTGAATAGATGTGTCAGCCAAGACAACCAAACAATGTCCAGAGCTTTCAGCACTTTAGGGCGAATCACTGAGGAGCTTTTCAACTACCTCAGAGACCTCTGCTAGGGATATGACTGAGGTTTCCCTCGAGTCATCAAACCATGCCTCCTCCTCTGCAGAGGACATATTGGTCAGATTCAGGAGTTCCTCCAAGTGTTCTTTCCACAGCCCAACAATATCCCCAATCAGAGTCAGCAGTTCTACTCCCTTGTTGAACATAGCCTGGACCAAGCCCTGCTTTCCCTTCCTGAGTCGTTTCATGGTTTGCCAGAGCTTCCTTAAAGCCAGCCAAAAGTTTTACTTCATAGCTTCCCCAAACTCCTCCCACACCCAGGTTTTTGATCACCACAGCAGCTGCAGCCCTTCTGCCACCATAACAGGCACCTACAAACTACTGACCTCAACTCCTAGCAAGTGTCTCCGAAGTGGAGGCTTTGAACATGGCCCACAGGGATTGCATATCCTCAGCCTCCCCCATGATGCAGGAGAAGTTCTCCTGAGGTGGGAATTAAAGACCTTGCTGACGGGCTTCAGAAAGATGTTCCCAGCTCATACGTTTGGATTTGCCAGGTCTGTCTGGTAGCCTCTTCTGCAATCTGATGCAGTTCACCAGCAGGTGGTGATCAGCTGTCAACTCTGCTCCTCTCTTCAGCAGAATGCCCAAGACATTCAGCCTTAGGTCTGATGATACAACCACAAAGTCGAGCATCAATCTTAGGCTAAGGTTGTTCTGGTACCAAGATCCAAATGATCTAAACCAAACTGAATGTGAGTGCTCCTAAAATGTTGGTAATGATCCATCATTGCAATGGACAATGGGTAAAAATTAATTTCTTTTCCAAATAAATTTGACTATTTAACCTGTTGGTTGATGTTGCAGGAAATAACTTGAGATCAATGTTATCATAACAGTTTAACCTGTTGGTTGATGTTGCAGGAAGTTTTCTGTTAACAACAGATAGGGGGAACCTTCCCTTGCTGTCTTTCTATAATCTGCAAGCTTCATAGAGAGGTATCAGATTATTATAGTTAAAACAGTTGCTTGGTAAGTAGTAATAGGTGTGACATAAACACACAGATGGTAGTCATGAGCTAGAGTAAGACTCACCACAAAGAAGATGATGAGACAAACTCAACTTTAATTGATGCTACCTCAGCACTGTCATAGCGGTTATTGATCTGTAATTCATTAATCTTGGAGGAGGGGTGTCAGTCGGAGGATGGAAGCTACAATATACACACCTACCTCGACCCCCCTACCACTGGTGAAAGGCAAGAAACTTGACACTACACAGACTGACACAAAGAGCTAATACGAGCACTACGTTTGATTTGTTTGAGGGTAACACAACACACCTCCAGTTTATCTTTCTTTCAGTTCCTAAATGCACAGAAAATTTTCCAATTTGCTCCTTTGGAAAATATGGGCAATTTTTGTTCGAAACAAATCAATGAAAATAGTACAGTACATATCACATCACATGCACAGTTTGGGTCTATCAAGATGTGTTTACTCACAGGTGGTGGGTTTGTTACAGTTGTGTCCATGTCTGAAGTACTGTGGGTTCTCGATGACGGGGATCCTGGTCATTCCAATCACCACAGCATCCGCCCCTGCATCCAGGGTACAGGGGCTGATAATGCCATGGTTCACATGATGAAGGGGGCTGGCAGAGTCTTCTTCACCACTTATCACTGCCACTGGTCCTAGACAAACAGACAAGCAGCATAGACTGTGAATGAATATCTCTTTACCGTCAGAGCAACAGACTTAACATCTGCAGGTATCTGGCTAAATATTTAAAACTGTTTAATAGTTTCTTCATATAAATCTGTTTGTGACTGAAGAAGATGGATCAAAGGACGGAGAGTTTGATATTAGTTTAGCACTGACTGTTAATCGACATCATCAGTCAGCAAAGCAGCATTCAAGCAGCTAGTTAATGCAGCTGGTGAGCCACACACAGCCAGACTCTCAGTCATACAGTAAATAAGTCATGCTTTCTATAATGCAGTTTATGATTCGGAGAGTCAGCAAAGGCTTATGGGTAGTTGGTCATATAGTCAATCAATCAGCCAGTCAACTAATCATGATCCTATTTAGAGTCCAGCAGAGATTTATATTATTAAATTAAAATGTTTGATCAAAGTTCAAAGCAAATTCAAAACATATCATCATGTAATTCAGAGTAATCATGTAACAATATCTACAATGATTCAGTCCACTCTATTAGTTGTAGAATAACATTAGGCTTGAGAAAGGGGGTTGGGAGGTTCGGGATGAAACACAGTGGAAATAAAATTTTACTCATTTAAATAATTTCAGCGGTTTCTGTTGTGTGGATACTTTATTCTGCTGTGGTTCAAGTATGAATAGAATGAATAGATAGATAAAAGGTAAAGCTCAGCAAAAAGATTCACTGAGAGAGCCGCTAAACATAACACAAAGTGAGGCTGCAGGTTATCTGAACTACAGGTGCATTCATGCAGCATTTAGACTGGATCCAACCTGTACTCAGCACTACTGACCAGTGTCCAAACTCCCAGTCTTGTCCTCAATTCCAGAGGAAATGTGGGAATGTGAATATACTCATATCAAAACAGAGAAATCTTACACTCCACCCAGTGGAGATGTCAGGTTCATTCAAATTTAAGAGGCTTATGTGATTAGCACAGTCAAACATATCTGAATTTATAAGACAACTTTTGTTTAATCAGTTTAACCATTACTGCTTTATTTTAAAAAAAAGCTTTGAAATGTGATTGTTTCAAGAAATGAGTGACTTATAATCCTCAGATCTACTCAGAAGGAGCGTAACTGGTCTGGTTGATAATCACTATAATAAACAAAATAATACAAAAGCATTCAAATAAATCTGTAAATAACAGTGATTTAATTTGTGACATTTAGAGCAAGGAACTTCCTGGAAAGACTCTTACTGTTTTTCGCCACATTAAAATGATCCTTTGTTTCTTGTATTTTTGTATAATGTCTCAATTAAAGAGGAAGGAGACAGTTTTGTTCCTTTATGACATGAAGACCAGAGGTTCATGTCAACATAATTGGATCTGAGCAGAATATGATCTAACTGGCTGACTGGGAACATGACCAGCTGCCCTCTGGGGACAAATACAACAATTGATTGATTGATTCATTGACAGAAGTAAATTGGTGTATTTCTCACAGATTTCTTATAAGTAGAACAAAAACAAATCAACAATCACTGCCTGTTTGACATCAGATATGCAAACTTTCATATTCTACCATGTTTTTCTGTGTTCATCATTTCCAGCTCTGGTCAGTAGCAGCTCTCTCACTGCTTCCGGTTGAGTGTTGATGGACACATCGGCCACTGCAGGGATCATCCCTGTGACCTTTGTCAGTTACCAGACAACCTATGCTAATATTTAAGCCATGTGTCAGACGAGCTGACATGAAGGCTGAGCAGTCAGCTGGTCATGGATGAGCAAGGACACAGAGACACAGAGTGACTGACACAGAGACATGAGGGAATCACAGAGGAGGGAGGGAAAGAGAGGAGGATGGTGTCAGAAAGTGTGAGGTGGACAGTTTTCACGGCGCTCAAAGGTCAGAGGTCGAATGATGTGAGTGGAGCAATGGGAATAAAGCATCCTGGTCTCTGACAGCCAGCACACATGTCACTGCTGTCATCCCACCAGTTAAACAGTGTGCATGTTGAGAGCCTGAGGTGGCTGTGACCACTTTTTGCTGAATCCTCTCACCGGTGCAATGAACAGCTGACTGTATGATACTGGCATGCCAAAAGAATGTGTTGCTTTCCCAGTGGTGTCCAGTTAGGAGAAAATATATCTGTTGGTTATTCATGATTTGTCCTGGTCTGTCCCACTTCTCCTTTGAGCTGTTCGGGTATAAAATCACTACAGATGCAGACATCCACAGACATCTGAGGACTTCCATTCATGCTACAGCTGACGGTCAGCGTCAGTCTGTTGTTCCACACGTGTACCATTCCCGATCCATACTGCACTCTGGTTGGTGGCAGTAATGCGCCACAATGTTTGTTTTTTTTTATCAACAATTAAGAAGTAGAAGAAGAGAACAAGAAGAAGGCAACAATAGAAAATATCCTGTGTGACCACTTAATGAGAGTAGGAGAACAGGGCCTTCAGCTCATCATCATTTGGCTCTTTGTATTGTTTCAGAGAAGAATCATATACATGTGGGTAACGCCAGATGTTCTCACATCAACGCTCTTCAAAACAAGAATCCACAGTGTTGTCTTGAGCATGAGCAGTCTGCTCACTTACTATATGATTGCTATAGATTTTTTTTACCAGTAAACAAAATGTGTTCCACAAGGATCAGTTCAGGGCCCAGTCTTATTGACAATCAATATATAATCTATATAATATATATGCGGATGACACTATTCTGTGTTGTTCTGCTGACTCTGCACATCTAGCCTTTGCCAACCTGCAGTGCAAAATCAAAATGCACTTAATCAGCTTAAACTGGTACTTAATGCATGCAAAACCAAACCAAACCAAACCAAGTTAATTCTTTTTTCTAGAGAAAAAGACATTGAACAGTCTACACCGATCCACACTAAAAAAAAAAAAAATGATGTGCTGGCAACAAGTGGCAGAGAGTCTGCATAGCTCGGAGTTTTTTTGCAATAAATTTGTATATATTAGTATATTTTTTGTCTGTGCGTCAATTTGTAACTGTGGCATCTGTACAAAATACATGCTATTTCACTGGAACACAGAACCTGATGGCTGACTGGAGGTACCAGGGTATCCACTTGTAGGTCATGGTGATTTAAGCTGTAGTTTACAACACTGCCACCAGCTCCATTTCCCTTAGTGTCCAAATGGAGCCACAGTCTTTCAGTCACACTTTATTCCTCACAGTAATCTAATGAGCCTCCAGCATCAATACCTGCTGCTCATTGGCTCACACAACAGTCAGTCAGATTTTATTACACACATGAATCACACGAAGAAGAGACCGGACTGCTTCTGTCAGTGCTACAGAGCATCATGCTGCATTCTGGGTAATTCATGGGCTAATCAGGATACAAGTGCATTTTCTTTATGCATCTGTGCCGATGACAGCCAGAGCCGGAGGTACAGTATATTGTTTTTGGGTTGCCCGTCGCCCTTACCGTTCTCGTGGACATGATATCTCAGTAACGCCTTGACAGAATCTCTTTGAAGTTGGCAGAAACATTCACTTGAACTCAAGGATGAACTGATTAGATTTTGGTGGTTAAAGATTAAAGGTCAAAGTCGTGGTGATCTCACAAAAAACAGTTTTGGCCTTGTGAACATAATATCTTCGTAACGCCTTGAGGGAATTTCTTCAAATTTGCTAATGTGTTCACCTGGACTAAAAGACAAACTGATTAGATTTTGGTGGCTGAAGGTCAAAGGTCAAATGTCAAGGTCACAGTGACCTCACAAAACATGGTTTTGGCCGTGTGAACATGATGTCTCAGTAACACCTTGAAGGAACCTCTTCAAATTTGGCACAAAGGTTCACTTTGACTCAAGGATGAAGTGATTCGATTTTGGTGGTCAGAGGTCAAGGTCAGTGTGACCTCACAAAAATGTTTACTCAAGACTTGACACAGCAATTATGACAACTTTTAAATGATTGATATTTTCTATGACTGTGGATAAACAGGGATGTGACCTGAAAATAGTCTGAGTGGAGGAGGCAGACGACCACCAGGAGGTGATTCTGTTTTCTTTGCACTGATGAGAGGTTTTGAAATAATGTTTTCCAATTGTTTCTTGAAATAACTGACATTTGACATTTTACTGATTGACTAAATTATAAGAACACAAACAAATAAAAATTTAAGATTTTTGCAGAGTTGAGGTGACTTTCTGTCTGTTTTAACTATAACGTGCATTTCCCGATCCACACTGCAGTCTGGTTGGTGGCAGTAATGCACCACAGCGTTGTTTAACCGCTTGTCATAAAAATGAAGAAGTAGATGAAGAAAACAGGAGGAAGGCAACAAGAGAAAATATAATGTGTGACCACCAGAATAGGAGAGCAGGGCCTAGAGCTCAACATCATTTGGCTCTTTGTATTGTTTCAGATGAGAATCACATAAATGTGGGTAATGCCAGATTTTCTCACATCAACGCTCTTCAACAAGTATCCACTTTGTCGTATGACGAATGAGCAGCTTGCTTTTTGGACATCAGCACAGGGGTCCACACAGACCCTCACAGACATGAGTGGATGATGACAATTACATCACTTGGACCAAAGGGGACCCTGGTGACAGAAACACAGCACGGGTCTACAGGTGCAGTGTACGTTCAGAAGTTGAATACACTTTTTATTTGACTTGAAACAAAACAACTACATATATAAAATTAGTTCATGTTTTCATTCTGCTTGGAGTTCACCCGGTCTACAATCAAAACCAGCACTTTGCCTCCTGCTGGAAAGAGGAGCAAAACTGACAAAGTCACAGCTTTAAAAAATGGCAGAGCAGCACTGACTCATACAGTGTGTATGAGTCTTTTTACACAACAGTCAGTATAAAGGATTCTTTCCCCTCAGCTGTAGGATTACTGTGGCATCTCTCCTTCATCTGTCTCCTGCATCCTCTTCATCACTGTCTCACCACAAGCTGTAAATCACTGCTGGCAGACACTTTGCAAATCCACCTTCACAACTACCCTGTCAAACACACACACAC